TGTGTGCACTGCTGTCCCTAAGCCAGGGCCGCTGACCAAGCTCGGCTGTGGTACCAAAAATCTCCTAACAGAAGTGGTACATAAAGTATCCCTATAATCTTCACAACAGCCTTGCAAGGCTAAATCTCCACGGGCACGTGTGAGCAAACTGAGGCACCCTGTCATCTGCAAAACCAAGGTCAGACCTCTTTGTCTGGGTCATAGGTCTTGATGACCTGCCCCTACCTATGGTTTCTCCCTGACTTCTAGTCATACTCCCATCCCAGCCCCAGTCCTAGACCAAAGCTTAGCTTCCTGGAGTGTGCCACGTGGTTCTGGTTCTGTGTCCATGAAAGGCTTATGCTACTTAAGAGAATGCTTTGCATGCCTTCCTCTACCCCCTGGTTCCTTGGCAAACTGGTGCTCTTGTCCTTCAGGAAGACTCCTGGCCCCTCAGGCCAAGTTGCTGGCTCTCGTTACACAGGCATGGCATTATCAGTGTTTATTCACTGCCTGTCTCCCCCAAGGTCACTCTTGTCAGAGGCAGGGCCCATCCCACTTGGCCTTACATCTCCTTCAACCAGCACAGGCCCTTGCCCACAGTGAGTCCTCAGTAGATGCTTGGGAGAGGGCATTGTATGGGTGAAGTTAACTGGTCCAGGGTCAGGCTACTGAATGGCAAGGTCAGGATTGGAAATCAGAACTGTCTGACCACAAAGCCCCATGTAGCTTATCGGGCTCCGGTCTGGGGACCAGAGCTAGGTTTGAAGTGGACTCCCTGTTATCTTGAGCAGGTGACTATGTGTAAGGTGAGACTGATGACAAGCGAGGGCCTTAATTCTGGCTGGGAGCAAGGACAGCTTCCTCCTCTGGCTTCCCCCCTCCCTTGTAGCCTGGCTCTAGGGCCGCTCAGAGGGTGGGACATCTCATGGGCCAGGCCTCTCAGGTGTTGTTGGTTCTTCCCAAGCATCTTTTCTATGAGGAAATAAGTACCCTCCAGAAACCTGGTGAGAGTCAGTGTGGTTCTCATGTGGTTGGCATCTAGCTGACTGCCAGGTGCCGGCCTGGCCCTGGCTGCCTCCGGCCTTGCTTATGTGCCACATTTGACCACCAGCATATGCTGCCTGGAAGACAGCTGCCTCCACCCAACTGTACAGCCAGACCTGAGAGGAGTAGCCTGCGGCTCAGAAGAGTGGTCAGCACAGGGGTGCAGTGGGGCTGGCAGATGCCAGGAGATGTAAAGAGACACAGGTTTCCATCCTGGGCCTTCATGGCTGTCCTGTGAGTGTGAACCCGATGTGAGATGGTGGGGCGTTAGCGAGGCCCACTGCCTCGAGCCGTGGGCAGAACAAGAGCAAACTGCTCTGTGAGGACCACTAAGTTTACTACAGGGAACTCTAAGGTGCTGATTTGAGGTTTTGACTTGATTCTTTTTTTTTTTTAGATACAGTTCACATACTATAAAATTCACCCTTTTAAAGTATACAATTTAGTGGCTTTTAATATTTTCACAAGGTTGTGCAACCATCACTACTATCTAATTCCAGAGCATTTTCATCACCCCAAATAGAAACCCTGTACTCATTAGCAGTCACTCCCCGTGTCTCCCTCCCCCCAGCCCCGGCAACCACAATCTGTTTTCTGTCTCTATAGATTTGCCTACTCTGAGCATTTCACATAAATGGAGTCGTCATACAGTATGTGGCCTTTTGCATCTGGCTTCTTTCACTTGGCAGATGTTTTCAAGGTTCATCCATGTTGTAGCATGTACCAGAATGTCATTCCTTGTTGTTGCCAAATAATAGTCCGTGGCATGGATAGGCCCCATTCTGTTTGTCCATTTATCAATTCACGTACATTTGGGTTTGTGATATTGTGATATGTAAGAAATAGATATATTTGGTCTTCCTTCCCCATTTCTGGCACAGCTCCTAAAACGCTTGGAATTTCCTAAGTGGTGAGAGTGATAAAGGTGTCTTTTGTTAGGTCAGTGAGGTGACTTTTGGATGCACCTAAGGATGGGGGCTGGTTGCCAGGAGAACCAACCATGAGATTAAAAGGTTGGAACTTTCAACCCCACCCCCTAACCTTTGGGGAGGGGAGAGGGGCTGGAGGTTGAATCAGTTGCCAGTGGCCAATGACTTAGTCAATCATGCCTATGTAATGAAGCCTCCATAAAAACCCAAAAAGGGTTCAGAAAGCTTCTGGGTCAGTAAACACGTGCAGATTCAGGCAGAGTGGTGCCTCTGGAGAGGGCATGGAATCTCTGCGCCCCTTCCCACATACCTTACTCTATGCATCGCTTCCATCTGGCTGTTCCTTTTGTAATAAACCAGCCATCTAGTAAGTAAAGCATTTCCTGAGTTCTGTGAGCTGCTCTAGCAAATTAATTGAACCCGAGGAGAGGGGGTCAACCTCCAATCTGCCAGTGGGTCAGAGGCACAGGTGACAACCTGGACTTGCGATTGGCATCTGGAGTGAGAGGGAGTACGGTCTAGCAGGACTGAGCCCTCAACCTGTGGGATCTGCTGCTATCTCCAGGTAGATAGTGTCAGAATTGAGTTGAATTGTAAGACATCCAACTGGTGTCAGAAAATTGCGTGGTGGTGTAAGAAAAAAACACACATCAGAATTGGTGTCAGAATCTTAGGGTTGTTTCCACTTTCTGGTTATGATGAACAATGATACTGTGAACATTCCTGGGTAAGTTTTTGTGTGGGCATGTGTTCAGCCCTCTCGAGTAAACATTGAGAGGAGAGCTTACCCATGGTAACGCTGTTGAACTCTTTGAGGCACAGTTGGCTTGCTTCTTGCCTCACTGTTTAATTTGGGCAAGTTACTCCCCCACCCAGATTCCCTGGTCGCCTTTCGCCTCCCTGATCTTTAGACAATGACTTACTTGGAAAACGAGCATCCGGAGTGCATGACCTGTGCACGTCCTGTGAGGCCGGTGCTCAGGGGCTGTTCCGTGGCACAGCATTGCCCTTCCACTGCTTTGCTGTCTGTCCCCCCAAACCACCCCCTCCCTCTGGGTCATCTTTCTGCCATTTCTGAAGTAGAGAGCTTTCTGGGGGCCCTCCCTTGATGGGAGCATGGGCCTGGGCCGCCCTGCCTCTGAGCCTAGACCTACCCAGGCTCCCAGCTCTTGGTGTGGGCTCAGAGGCAGCCCTTACTCCTGCCATGTCTGGGCTGCTTAGCAGCCATGATTTTCAGCCAGCATGGATTCATTTCCTGCGGGCCCAGCAGTCAGAATGTTCCGGAATCACCTATACCGATGCACAGAGGGCAGGCAAATATGGGTCTGCCTGCCAGGCCATGGGCAGAGGCAGGTCTGACTCACCTACAGTGCCAGCACCCAGCACAGCAGGGGCTGTTCTGAGAGTGGGAGAGAGATAAGGGAAGGACTTGGTTAGACAGATGGGAGGTGGCATCTGTGTGTGAGTGCAGTGTCCAACCTAAACGAGGCCAGGGTGCAGCAGGGTGAGGAACAAAATAGCAGGCTAGTGAGGAAATTGCATGCCGAGTGTGCCATGCTGCTAGGAGAAGACCGAAGGGCCAGGGCTGGCAGAGAGGACAACAGAGGAGAAGTCACAACTGGGGCAGAGCGAGGTGCTGCTGGCATGTTACTTGCATTGAGACAGGAACCGCTTTCAAGCTTTGGGGAAAGAATAATAGCTTTATCCTTTTTTTTTTTTTTGAGATAAAATTTGCCCTTTTAAAATATGCAATTGAGTAGTTTTTAGTATATTTAAAAGGTTATGCAGTTATTACCACTAACTCTAGAACCTTTTCATTATCCCACAAAGAGCCCTGGAGTAGCCTTATGTTGACCATGGTCATCATATTCCACCCACCTGGCCTGTCATGGCACATGTGGCCCACCCACCCACCGGGGCCCCATGCACCAGTGCTCTGCATCACTTCTGCTAATCCAGGACCAAAGCCCTCGGTTGCCATGGTAATTCTTGGCCTGCGCTCAGGCACAGTTATCCATCCTTTTAACTGATGCCTGTTGGACCAGTGCTGGGGGTACACCTGTGGCTAGGACAGGCACAGTCCCTCTTCAGAACACAGAGACGAGTGGGGATAGAAAGGGGCAGACAGCCCTACCTGCAGTGAGGCAAGGGCCTGCTCGAGGAGCTAGAGCAGTTATTGATTCACACACACAGGGTGCCCTCCCCCTCCCTGCTGAGGCACCACCTTGCTCACTATGGGTGCCAAATGAGGAGCAGGAGGAGATGGGTGCTTTGCGAGGGGAGGTGACTTCTAAGGGTGTGAGGGCTCTCTGGATTGTGGGGGCAGCCTGGGGACCCTTGTGACACATAATACTGACTTGAGCCCACACTCAGCTGTTCTCCAAGCTCAACTCTGCGTCCTCCTTGGAAGACCTTGGCAGGCAGGAGTCAGGCTCTAGGGGCCCCACTCCACTCACACCTGTGTATAAATGCCACAGAGGCAGCTGAGAACTGAACAGTGAGTCTATGAGTTAGGAAGTCCTCCATCTTGGGGCCCAGAGTCACGCCCTGAATGTAGAGAGTGGCCTTGTGTCACCTCTGCAGAAAGATCTGTCCTGTGGCCTGGGCTGAGGCCAGCACACCCAGCAGTGTGACCTGGAGGGCACAGTTGGGCCCTCACACAGGTTGACATTGGACCCTGACCCATCCAGGAGCCCTGAGATGTGCACTGCACAAACTACACCCTCGTGCCTGAGCCCCATGTCTCCTGGGACCCCTCAGGTCCCTGCTCGAGGGACCAGAGAGAGTGGTCCTGGGAGAGCTGACTCCCAGTCCTCAGAGTCCAGCTTCCTTCCTCCACTTGCCCCTGTCCTCTGCCTCGCTACGTTCTCTTCAATTCATATTGTTTTGGAACTTTCTGAGCACTGTTACAGCCATAGTCTTGGTGGCTCTCACCAGCCCATCGCCCTCGGCAGACCCCTCCCCATCCCCTGTAGGCAGCTCTCTGTCTCCAACCACAGCTCTCTCTGGAGGTCGTTGTTCTCATCCTCTGCTTTTCTTCTCCAGGTTATCCTGAAGGATCTGGAAGTGTTGGCAGAAATTGCATCCTCCCCTGCAGGCCAGACGGATGACCCAGGCCCCCTCGATGGCCCTGACCTCCAGGTCAGACACTCAGAGCTTCAGGTGCCCCCAACAGGCAGAGCCGGCCTGATGAACACTCCTGGTAAGTATTCCCCTTATGGTTACAGGCTCAGCGGCCCTTGGGGAAAGCTTGTGCTCAGTCTCGTCCCTGACTGGGTGGTCCTTTGGGCTGTCACTCTTGAGCCATTGAGTTGTGCCAGGGTGTGAGGGATCTGTAAGTGTCCTACCAGCGAGCTGGCGGTCTCCAAGAGGCAGGACACCTCACCCTCCTGCTGCCTCCTGGCTCACACTCCACAGTCCCCCAACCCCGTAAGAGCCCCTCATGTCCCTTTTTCCTCATCTTCCTTCACCTTTCCTACTTTTGAGCCATTGGGTAAATATAAAACCATCTGAGTCAGCTAGTCATCTCTTTCCCTGGGGCGGCATCTCCCCAGTCAGGAATCAAAGGGCTTTGGAGTCTTGAGTCTCACAGGTGGAAGACTAGGCAGCCATTTTCTTCCTCGCCGAGAAGCTAAAAACAGCAAACAACACGGCATGCAGCCCAGGCAGGAGAGGGGATAATTCAAACAGAATGTTTCCGGGCAGTCTTTGGACATGAAGGTGGCCATGGCATTCCTGGTGCTCACACTTCGTGGTCCTTTCAGATAGCAGGTGGCTATCAGAGAGCTGTGGTTGGAGACAGAGAGCTGCCTACAGGGGATGGGGAGGGGTCTGCCGAGGGCGATGGGCTGGTGAGAGCCACCAAGACTATGGCTGTCACAGTGCTCAGAAAGTTCTAAAACGATATGGATTGAAGAGAACGTAGCAAGGCAGAGGACAGGGGCAAGTGGAGGAAGGAAGCTGGACTCTGAGGACTGGGAGTCAGCTCTCCCAGGACCACTCTCTCTGGTCCCTCGAGCAGGGACCTGAGGGGTCCCAGGAGACATGGGGCTCAGGCACGAGGGTGTAGTTTGTGCAGTGTACATCTCAGGGCTCCCTGGGCCAGTGTGACTCCCAGCTCCCTCCTCCCAGGCAGACGCCAGTTCCCTCCAGCAACGCAATCTTGGAAAACGCCCACGGATGCAAGTTGGTCGGGAAGTACCCAGCGAATCTTGGGTGTTTGCCTGAGGTGTCTGTTGTCCCATGAGTAGCTCTTGACATCCAGACACAAGATCCTAGACAGCTCCTCCTTTGCTGCAGAAGCCAAGTGTCAAATAGGTTTGGGGCCTTTCAGTGGCAGCTTCCCTCCTACAGCCGCACCGTGCTGGTCCCGGAAGGCGTTCTGGTACCTGGCCCTGAGAATGCCTGCTGGGTGGAGCCGCCAGAGTCCCGCAGGCCTGGCTGCACCCCAGGGCTGCTAGGTCAAGTCACAGGCCTGTGCACTGACGACATCTCCCCAGTGAGACTTTGAAGTCAAGGTCCCCCAGCCCTTGCAGTGGGGTGTCACATAGGACCCAGGCATTAGGCCACTGCCACTGCATACACTCTGCCTGCAGCTGGTCCCAAGTTTCCAGCTGTTTGACTGAAGCAAAGGAGTAAGGGGTTCTAGCGGCTGCCCGGCTTCCTTCTCTAGTTTCCCCAGGATGCAGTGGTTTCCTTGCCAACGAGCCCAGTTTCCTCTGGGCAGCAGAGGCCATGGTTGAGAGGCTCCCACATCCTGACCCCGGGACCCAGCTGAGGTTCCCAACCTCTGTCCCACAGCCCAGGAGTCCATTTTCCATCCTGTGTCCCCAAGTCAGCACTGAGGGGTCAACCTGAAGTCCCCAGGACAGATGGCAGGAATGCCAGAGGTTGAGTGTGAGGGCCAAGCCCCGATGTGGGCGTGGGGCGGCCTTGATGAGAGAAGAGAGGAGAGCAGTGAGGGGGGGGGGATGGCAGCAAGAACTGACTGGAGGAGGGGCAGCAGCCAAGAGAAGGCATCCTGCAGGGCAGAAGCCAGCCTTCAGATCTCCCTCCCAAGGAAGCGTCTTCTCTCCTCCTCAGAGTGGGAGAAGCATAAAGCTGAGGCAGCACAGCCTTGGGCAGGGGAAGGACACTTGGATCTCCCAGGACTCTCTGTGACCTGTCCCTCCATCTGGAAGGTGTATCTTCCTCCCAGCACAGAGAAGTTGATGACTGAAATACTTACTCGCTAGTGGAAAGATGGGCCAGAGAATGGCTCTGGGCACCCAGGTCTGCAGGAGAGGGTGGCGTGTGTGCAAGGCCTGGCCCAGGAAGTCCGAGGGGAGGCCCTACGGCAGCAAGGCCTTCCAGCTGCTTGGGAACAAGGGCTGAAGGGAGCTTGGATGGCAAAGTGCTCTGAACCCCAGCTCCTGGCCCTGCCAAGGGTAGGCCACTAACGAGGCTGAGGCAGGGAAGACTTGCCCCAGTTCACCAAGGCTGTCAGACTGGCTCATGTCAGCCAGAGACTCACCCTGAATTCATAGAAAAACAACCAAGTATGCCAGATCGAAAGAAATTCCATCCTGGAAAGAACACCAAGGAAGTGCCTATAGCCAATGGCGCTTCTTGCTTCAAGGATACACAGTGCTGAGGGCCACTCGCTCTTAGCCTGAGACCCACGTGTGCACTGCAAAGTGTGGGAACCACACATGCGTGTGTGTCCGTCCACAGCTGGCACCAGATTTTTCAAACTGGTTTGTGATTTTAAAAGGTCAAGGTCAAGCTTAAAGCAATACTGTAAGAGCCTGGGAAGCCAGAGCTGGGCCCTGTCCCCACTCCCGCCTCAGCTGCCTTGGGGAGGGCACAGTCCAGGCACCAAGGACATTGTGGGTAGCTGTTTAGGTCAGAAAGCATGCAGGAAGTGTACACTCATTCCTCAGCAGGCCGCTCTTTCTCCCATTGCTTCTCAGGCACGCAAGGGGGTCATTCTGTTTCCATCTGGCGGTGCATGTGGATAGAGGCTGCAAGGCCAGACCCACTTCCTGTTTAGATTCTGCTTTCCTCTGGCTCTCCAGGGCACAGCTCAGAGAACTTGCAGACTGCAGTGCTGTGTCCCTTTAGGATAGATCACCCCACTCCACTCCCCATAAAGGGACTTTCTGGAAAGCCAAGGAGGTGGAGAGCCTAGCGAAGATTAAATGGCGTTTGCAGGGAACCAAATGGCCCCGTCTGCGCGTTGTGTCTGTAAACTCAAATGGTGCAAATTGAATGCAGCAGTGGGGAAGCGAGGCCCATCCCATGACTGGGTAGCTGCTGTGTTGGCTTCAATGCACCACAGCAGTGGTCCCAGGGGCCCGCAAGGCAGAGTTACCCACATGCGGTTTTCCCCTCTCCTGGCCTAGCGTAAACATCTCTCCCTCTGGTGTAGAGCAGCATGGTCTTGCTTCTCCTGCCCTGCTTTGTTCCTGACCTTCACAGAGCCCCAGGCTGGGAAGAGGGCCATCTCCAGCACAGTCAGGAGGGGAGCTGTCTGGGTAGGCGGCCCCAAGGGAAGCCAGTAGAGGGATACCACGTTTGCCTCCCTAGCTTGTGATTTGGTGAAATGAAATGGAAACAACCACTTGGATCTCCTGTGACTTGACAACTGTGGCTTCTCTGCCCATCTCCACTTGGGGGTCATCAGCCAAGGCCCTGCCAGGCTCTGAGGAGAGGAGATGATGAACCCTAGCTTGAGCTTGCCTGTGGGGCCTGTCCCTGAGCCTGTGCGGAAGGCTCAGCAGGAGCAGGAGGGCCCTGGGATGGGTCCCTTGTCAGAGGTGTGCCTGGCCCTCCTGGGGCCTGGACATCCCTGCTGCAGGAGACGGAGCAGCTTTGGCCTAGCATAGCAGCAGTGTGGCAGTCTGGGGCCAAAGGTCAGCCCAGGACTGATGTCTGCCCCTAAAACCCAACTTCCTTGACCTTCCCTCCTGGCTATGAGGCCCACGCTTGAGGGGATAAAACATCTCGTGTCAGTGTGCCCTGTGGGGCTCTCTCATCCAAGGTAGATGGAATTTAACCCGAACTCTAAAAACATGGGCAAAAATGAAACATTCTGATTCAGTTTCATTCCTCACAGCCGTGGCCAGTGTGGCCAGATGCAGAATCAAGTTCCAGAAGAAACCTAGAAAGCCACCTCTAGGCTTTTTGCCTAGTAATTAACAGTGGCCATAGTACGTTGAGCTCTCATTAGGACTGGACACTGTGCTGAGTGCTTCCCACATGTCAGCTCACTGAACCTCACTATGGACTGGCCCCTCAGCTGCTCACAACAGCTCTGAGGAGAGCACCGTTGTCATTCCCACCTGGAATAGGGCATTGCGACAGGCCTTGGGGCTGACCCAGGAGCCTAGCCTGAGAGCCTGCTCTCTTTACCCCCACATTCAGAGGACAGGAGTACAGGTGCCCCCCCACCCTTGCCAAGCACTGGAAGCTTCCACCACCCAAGGGGAGGAGCAGTGGTCACTGGGCTGGCAATCCAGGCTCCTTCTCTGGGTGCTGGGCCATGGCCCCAGCCTGGTAGTTCTTGGGGCTGTCCCTCCTCTTCGCAGTGACTTCAGGGACCCCATTCTGACCTCAGGCCACCTAAGCACTTCATTTCTTGCCCTTCTGCTGCCTCCCTGCCCTACCCTCCACTTCCTCCAGCCACACCAGACTATTTCCCAGCCTCTAGAAAGCCTTGCCTGTTGCCATTTGAGCCTTAAAGGCCCTTCTTCCCACATACTCTTTTCAGGCATAAAAGAGCATGGGCGCTGAGGTTGGAAAGATCTAGGTTCACAGCCCAGTTCTGCCCCGCCTATCCTGTGACCTTGGGCAAGTGTCCTGCCTCAGTGCCACCTCTTCCTCCCCTTTAAATTGGGTGATGGGATGCTTGGGCCCTCCTTGCACGGAGGGAGCTGAGATAAATCCCCCACATGTGTGAGGTGCTGCCTTTGCTTCCGACCTTCTTATTACAAGAGCTCACACGTGCTTCGGGCCAGCTCAGTGGCCCCTCTGCTGTGCGGCTTTCCAGGATAGTCCAGGTCAGGCTCCTCTCTGTGGCCTCTGTGCCTCCCGCCTGCCACACTGTGTGTGGGGGCTGAGTTCACATCTGTTTCCCTCTCGGCCGTGACCTCTTAGACCCTAGCTATTCAAAGTGTGGGTTGTGGCAGCCTCAGCGTCGCTTGGGAGCTCATCAGAAATTGA